TTCAGCCTTTCCTGTCCTTATAAATATAAGAAACAACAATTTCAAAAGGACCTAGTGAATTTTGTGTTAGTTTTCACCTTAACAAGGCATTCCCCCTTCTTTTCTTTTCTTTTTTTTTTTGCTTGAATAATCAAGTGTTATGTTGTTCACCTGTTTAGTAACATCGTATTAGGATACATAAACAGCAGTATAGCTAGAAATGTATATAGTCTGTCCAGGCTACTCAGTGCTAGTAGTACTTCATTTTGAGTTCTGTATGAAGATTTGAACACTGCAGTGTAAGAATAGCTGATGCATTTGAAAGAGTTCACAGAATAGCAGTGACAGTTGGGGATTAAGAAAGCATCATGTGTGAGGAAAGAGTAAAAGAATTGGATTTATTTGGCCCAAAGACAAGCTTGAAGTGAGGGCTTATTAAATGTACACAGCACAGCTAACAGAGGCGGTGAACAGATGCAGCAGTTTGCACAGCAGGGTCTGGGATCTGCTTAGAACTTCTGAGAACCTTGTTGGAAGTTGTGGGGATTTTCTGGCGGCCCTCTGAGGAACTAGAGGGTGCTTGCTGCTGACAGGAAAGGAGAGCTAAGCAAGGGTAGCTACTGAGGGCCTTAACTTCTCCTGGGAAGCTCTAGCTAGGTGTAGCTGCTGCTAACAAGCTTTGTTAGTTGTCCCGATCAGAGGGAGTTGGGGCCTTTGTTCTCGCTAGCCCTTGATTTGCCTGGGTCAAGCACCCTGTGAGTCAGTGCTAGGGAGAGCTATATAAGAGCCAGGCAGAGAGCGCAGCTAACAGAGGCAGCAAATAGAGGCAGTAGTTTGAACAGAGGCAGTGTACAAACGCAGCAGTTCGTGTAGCCCTTCGTGCAGAAGGGTGCAAGAAGGCCCCTTCATCTCCAATTTTAGTAGTGTTTGCTCCTTCAGGTATGGTTTTGACACACTGCAGAGTTCATTCCCTGGTAGCTGTTGGAGTTGCTGCAGTAGCTGTGTCAGAGGCTTCCCCCCAGGCAGATCTTCTGGTGGTGGATGTAGCTCTGCAGGTCTCACGTTGCAGGGGGGAGTACCTTGGACCTCTCTGTGAAGCTGGGGATGCCAATCATTTCTTCTGCAGAAGGTATGTTGTTCTTGATGAGTTCTGTTGCCAGGTCAGCGAGTTACAGGAGGAAGTAAGAAGGCTGCATATCATCTGTGAAGATGAGCAAGAGGTAGATAGGATATTCTCAGAAACCCTACAGCTTCAGGAGTCTCAAAACCCCATTGCAGTGGAGATGCAGGGGGCTTCTGTGCCATGTAAAACAGTAAGTTGTAAGTCTGTAGAAGAAGAAGGCTGGAAACTGGTCACTCCTCATATGAGGAGAAAGGCTCTTGCTCCTTCTGAAGACTTGCAGTTGATGAACAGTTTTAGTGCCCTTAAAGCTGAGGAGGAGCTGGCAGTGGCTTCAAGTGAAGCAACAGAGCCAAGAAACCCTATGCCATGCAGGATCACCTGGAAGAAGAAGCAAGAGATTGTTGTGGGTGACTCCCTGCTGCAGGGGTCAGAGGCACCAATCTGCCCACCTAACCACTTGACTAGAGAGGTTTGTTGCCTGCCGGGAGCTCAAATCAGCGATGTCATGGAAAGACTGCTGAGGTTTGTCCGTGCGTCCGACTGTTACTCACTGCTACTGTTCCGTGTGGGCACCAATGATACCAAGGGCAACTTGGAAACTATCAAATGGGATTTCAGTGCTCTGGGGATGATGTTAAAGGGTCTGGGGGGCCCAGGTCAATCCTGCCAGTTAGGGTGAAGGATGAGAGGGGGAATAGATGGATTCTCCAAGTAAACAACTGGCTGAGTTGCTGGTGTTGGCAACAGAGTTTTGGTTTCTATAACCATGGGACCCTGTCTGAGGATTGACAACTGTTTGGGAGAGATGAGATCCACCTCACTAAACGGGCCACACACATCTTTGCCAACAGACTGGCCAACCTGGCAAGGAGAGCTTTAAACTAGGAAAGAAGGAGGAAGGGGAGAGTTACAGAGACCACCCAGACAGCAAAACAGGGCTCAAGTGGGGATACCTCCAGCAAGTGCATGCAGCCAAGGAGGTGCCTACAAGACATGACTATGGGGTGTCGTCTTGCACCCCTCCAGGGAAACTGGCATGCTTGAATACCTCTCTGAAGTGCCTGTACACCAATGCACGCAGCATGGGGAATAAACAGGAAGAGTTAGAGATCTGTTTGTGGTCACAGGGCTTTGATCTCATTGCAATTACAGAGACATGGTGGGACAGCTTGCATGACTGGAATGTTGTCATGAATGGCACATACTTTTTAGGAAAGAGAGGCCAGGAAGGTGAGGTGGTAGAGTTGCCCTTTATGTGAGAGAACACCTGGAATGGTGTATGGAGCTCTGCTTTGGGGTGGGTGATGAGCGGGTTGAGAGCTTATGAGTAAGGATTAAAGGGCAGACTAATAAGGGTGACACTGTTCTGAGTGTTTGCTACAGGCCACCTGACCAGGAAGAGGAAGTAGATGAGGCCTTTTACAGACAGCTGGAAGTAGCCTCACAATTACAGGCTCTAATTCTCATGGGGACTTCAAGCACCCTGACATCTGCTGGAGGAACAACACAGCAAGGCACAAACAATCTAGGAGCTTCCTGCTTCCTGAGAGCAGTTGCCCTCACAACAGGTGATGGAAGAGAGGTGTGCTGCTGGACCTTGTACTAACAAACAAGGAAGGACTGATTGGAAATGTGAAGGTTGGGCGCAGCCTTAGCTGCAGTGACCGTGAGATGGTGAAGTTCAGGATCCTGCGAGGAGGGAGCAGGGCAATAAGTAGGATTGCAACCCTGGACTTTAGGAGAGCCAGCTTTGGCCTCTTCAGGGACCTTCTTGGAAGAATCTCGTGGGATCAGGCCCTAGAAGGAGGAGGAGTCCAAGAGAGCTCATTAATACTCAAGGGTCATTTCCTCCAGGCTCAAGAGCAGTGCATCCCAATGAGCAAGAAGTCGAGTAAAGGGACAGGAGACCTGCATGGATGAACAAGGAACTCCTGGCAAATCTCAAACAGAAGAAGGAAGTCTACAGAAGGTAGAAGCAGGGACAGGCCACTTGTGATGAACATAGGGACATTGTCAGAGTATGCAACGATGCGACAAGGAAGGCCAAGGTCCATTTGGAGTTAAATTTGGCAAGGGATGTCAAGGACAGCCAGAAGGGCTTCAATTGCATCAGTAACAAAAGGAAGACTAGGGAAAATGTGGGCCTGCTGCTGAGTGGGACAGGGGCCCTGGTGACAAAGGATACAGGGAAGACAGAGATACTGAATGCCTTCTTTGCTTCAGTCTTCACTGCTAAGGCCAGCCCTCAGGAATCCTGGACCCTGGAGGCCAGGGAGAAACTCTAGAGAAAGGAAGACTTTGCCTTGGTCAAGGAGGATGGTGTTAGAGATCCTTTAGGCAAACCTGACACCCACAAGTCCATGGGCCCTGATGGGATGCACCCTCGAGTACTGAGGGAGCTGGCAGACATCATTGCTAGGCCACTCTCCATCGTCTTTGAAAGGACTTGGAGAACAGGAGAGGTGCCTGAGGACTGGAAGAAAGCCAGTGTCACTCCAGTCTTCAAAAAGGGCAAGAAGGAGGAGCCAGGAAGCTACAGACCTGTCAGCCTCACCTCCATCCCTAGAAAGGTGATGGAACAGCTCCTCCTGGAGGTCATCACTAAGCATCTGGAGGACAAGAAGGTGATCCGGAGTAGTCAGCATGGATTCACTAAGGGGAAATAATGCTTAACCAATCTGATAGCCTTCTCTGATGCAATGACTGGCTGGGTAGATAAGGGGAAAGCAGTGGATGTTGTCTACCTGGACTTCAGCAAGGCTTTGGACACTCTCCCATCACATCGCACAGGAAGTGCGGGCTGGATGAGTGGACGGTGAGGTGGATTGAGAACTGGCTGGATGGCCGAGCTCCGAGGGTTGTGGTGAATGGCGCAGAGTCTAGTTGGAGGCCTGCAGCTAGCAGTGTCCCCCAGGGGTCAATACTGGGTCCAGTATTGCTTAACTTACTCATCAATGACCTGGATGAAGGGACAGAGTGTCTCCTCAGCAAGTTTGCTGATGATACTAAACTGGGGGGAGTGGCTGACACACCAGAAGACTGTGCTGCCATTTGGAGGAACCTGGATAGGCTGGAGAGATGGTCATGAAGTTCAACAAAGCCAAGTGCAGGGTCCTGCACCCAAGAAGGAATAACCTCATGCAGCAGTACAGGTTGCGGGCTGACCTACTGGGAAGCAGCTCTGTAGAGGACCTGGGAGTCCTGGTGGACAGCTAGTTGACCACGAGCCAGCAATGTGCCCTTGGGGCCAAGAAGGCCAGTGGTATCCTGGGGTGCATTAGGAAGAGTGTTGCTAGCAGGTCAAGAGAGGTGATCTATCCCCTGTGCTCAGCCCTGGTGAGGCCTCACCTGGAGTGCTGTGTCCAGTTCTGGGCTCCCCATTACAAGAGAGACATGGAGCTCTTGGAGCAAGTCCAGTGAAGGGCGACTCAGATGATTAAGGGACCAGAGCTTCTCTCCTATGAGGAAAGGCTGAGAGAGCTGGGCCTGTTGAGCCTGGAGAAGAGAAGACTGAGAGGAGATCTGATCAGTGCGTACAAGTATCTGAAGGGAAGGTGGCAAGAGGATGGGGCCAGACTCTTCTCAGAGGTTCTCAGGGACAGGACAAGAGGCAACGGGCAGAAACTGAAACACAGGAAGTTCCATCTGAGGAAAAACCTCAGTTGGAACCTGAGGAAAAACTTCTTTCCTGTGAGGGTGACAGAGCACTGGCAGAGGTTGCCCAGAGAGACTGTGGAGTCTCCTTCCCTGGAGATATTCCAAAGCCGCCTGGATGTGATCCTGGGCAACGTGCTCTAGGTGACCCTGCTTGAGCAGGGGGATTGGACCAGATGATCTCCAGAAGTCCCTTCCAACCTCCACCACTCTGTGATTCTCTGAAGTGCTTCAAATTGTAAAATGTTCTTGAACAAAAGAAAAGGAGGAGACGATGTTTTGTTCTCTGTATACATGGCGGATAAGGGAAAAAGTAAGGCTTAAATTGCAAGAACATTCAGGCTGTTTGTTAAGAGGAAAAGTTATAATGATAAAGATAGCAAGGTAGTGAAGTAGTTTGGGAAGGCTGTGGAGTATCCATCAAAGGTCTGTAAGAGAAGGTTAGACAAATGTTTTTCAGAAATTAGGACTGAGGTCTCTGACTTGGGAAGGAACTCTTATGACCCTCTCATCTTGGGAGTGAATCATAGAAAAAGGTTTGAAGGACACAAAAGAAGAGCCACAGAGGGAACATAGGCTTTTTGACACTCAGATATGTCTACATGCTATTTTGGAAGTTAACATGAGCTCACAGGCCAACTAATCTGGAAGCAGTACAGGCACAGCAAGCGTGGCCCTGTGCCAGACTAAAAAGACCCACTGAGAGTAACACTATCTAGTTGCTGAGTGCCTGGATCTCAGAATGGAATCTATGGCCTTGATGGTGGCATCATTGCTAGAAGACAAAACAAGGTGAGAACCAGATGCCTTTTAATAATTCTAAATGCAAAACATAAGAAATAAAAACTGATTAAAAATATATCCAGGACCCTTTGGTTAAATTTCATTTAACCAATAAAAACCCTGCCAAATTCTGTATTTGTGTGCTTTTGAGTCACCATTTAAGTTTTATGCCAATCAAAATAAAAAACAATGCTCATCTAACAAATCAGAAATGTTATATTTGCTGTTTTCTAATGTGGTACATGTGAAAGCCTATATAATGTGTTAGTGTGCAATGGTAGTGTTTCCTCTGTCCTCTATAAGAACTGCAGAAGGATGTGAATGTGCAGAATTTTAATAGATCTACAAGAATTTCCTCTTTTAAATTCTGTTGGGCCGGAACACTTTAGCCTACTGTAAAATAGTCTTAAAAATTACCTGTATTTTGTGGGATTTTTTTTATATATAATTCACTATCAGCATTCTTGGTTACACAAAATAAAACCTGTGCTATGTAGATTATTGTGTGTTATACATTCATTTCTCTTACGAAAATGTATTTTTAAGTGAAAGGCCTATGCAGAACTAAGAAAATACTTTTAAAGTGTTTATCAAAAAATACAAAGCTTTTATTTTGCTGTAAATCAGTGATTGCTTGCTGGACACTGTTCAAGTAAAAGAAAGTTTTCATCACTTCAGATATCACTGATGACTAGACAGCCTTTGTTTGCATTACTTCAACCTTGTCTTGAAATACAGCAGCACCCCTTTATGCATCACTTTTTTTATCTGTGATTTCAGGGGTGCATCGCCAATTGTTTAACACCCTTCTTCAGTAACTGTCATCAGCCTCAAATGAAGCAGCTATTCAACAGATAGCAAAGCAGAGTTGTATTTTTTTTCCCCTTAAGAATTATATAATGGGGACAGGATGTATACGGAGACCTATATACAGTTTGAATACACAGGTATGGTATATATGGTGTGGAGGATGGATATCACTTAACTGTAGCACTTTGCAAGAATGTATCTTTAGTACATAGGGGTTATGACTGTACCTGAAATGCACATTTGAGCTGGCCTTATTGTGCAAAAAATGGTTGTCCTTCCTGCTTCGTCTTAGATTTGAGGTTCTCACTGAGCTGTTGTAAGATTGAATGAAAGGTGTATTTTATGAAATTGGCAAGAATGAATTAATTAGAACAGCTTTACGGTGTTGGACTGATAGAAGCAAATTCGCAACTGCTAGTCACTCCTTCAGTGCCCTGTGAAGTCTAGTGCTACGTTTATCATAGCAAAGTGATCCATGCTGCTTGTTAAATCTTTCAGAACCTGAGTATGTTGTTGTTGCTGTTTTTAATATATGTAATTCATAGACAGGCCTAACATTTTTATACATTCAACTTTCAAAATGTGTCTGATACAGAAAGTAGCAGCTCTGACATAGCCAGGTCAATAAAAACTTGAGAGTCAAGGCATTAGAATCGTCAGATTTTTGTTGCGAACGAGACAGACTTCCAGTGTAAATTCTCCCTTTTCTGTAAGTATCTCTTCCATGATCTCTTGCCTGGCCGATTTAATTTACATTAAGTTCTTACGTTCACTTATCTAGAAACAAAGACAACTGGCATCTTCAAAAAATTCATTTTAATTTTTTGTAAAATTGCAAGAAAAGATTTAACGCTTGCTTGAGTTTCATTTCATTCATTTCATTAGTGTGGATCTACTTATTAAAACCTGTATGTACGCTTGAGCTAGGAGTCTAATGTAGGCACACATTGTTTTAGTTCTTTCTTGTCAAACTAAATTTCAAACTCTACACACTTAGAAAAAGGAGGAATTCTGCTGTAACAAGAATTCAGATACAAATGAAAAACAAGGTTTAACCAATGTGTTTGTTTATTTCATAGTCTTTCATTCCTTTAGTAAACAAGGCAGAAGAGCGAAAGATGGAAATGGGGAAAACGCAAGGATTGGGGATTTAGTAAATTAAACTGCTGTGCAGACAACCTACGTTGAGGACTTTAATTTTCTTTGTTAGTGAAAAGTAAATACAAATGAAGTCGTTAAATGAATTGCAGAATCAGACATTTGGATTGTGGAGGAACACATTCTTTTAATACTTGTTTTAATTTTTATGGCACAGCTTCCTTGTCAGGAAGCGTTGTGCACTTCAGCACTGTGAGTAGGCATAACTATAGCATAATGTTTGAGTTGAGTGTATAAATGTAAAAGACCACCTTAGGTTTCTTTTCGGGTAGCTACCACAACGGAAATAGGTAGAAAGAAGAGCGTTGGAGAAAGCTTGCCAAAAAGAGAAGCCTTTGGACACAGATTAGAAAAGACCAAAGAGAGACATCAGAACATTAGTAAGGTGCAAACAGAAAAACAGCTATTCTGTCCTTCTGGTTGTTGTCTTAAATTAAGTCTCTGTTTGACAAGCAGGCTAATTCAGGTCTGTGAAAAGCCCTGTTGACTTAGTGCAGCGGCAGCACTGATCCTCCCACACAAAATAATTTAAGGGAACGAGCTTCCAGAGGTGCATTGAGAAAACAGTCTTTCCTTCTGTGTGGGCTTTCTTTCTTATTATATGGCATCACATGTTTTTCCAGGTAGCATGCTATACAAGATCAGAAAATTTTGTTTATAAATAAAATATTAATCTCCTCTACAGTGAAGATAGACTACTGATAGACATGGGGGTTGCAAGAGGAAAGCACGTGTGGATATAACAGATGACTTGAGTTGTATGTTTTTGCTCTCTTTACAGATCTAAGGAATCACAAGTGGAAATGAGTAATGAAGAGACTGATGCGCTACGTTGCTGGAGATGTAGAAAATACATAGCAAATTCCGTTTTCCTTATAAAACGTCATGGAGAAAAACCATCCAGAGTAAGTAGGGAGTCTGAAGGAAGTTTGTAACTTTTTTCAGTGCCTTTGGTTTTAAACATAAGAGGAGTATTTGCTTTCACCTAGTAATTTACGTCCTGAGAAGACAGTTACTAAAATATGGATCGTTTCATTAGAGGCAGGGAAGCTGCGAAGCCACGAGGGCAGTGATCACCTCTGTGCTCCACAATATGAGGGCTGATATTCACGATATAGCCTTTGTCTGTTAGCTTGGGTAATTATATAGTGTTCCGTTTTTCATATAAAAAATCGGATCTGTTAATCACTCTTAAGAACTGGTTATCTATCTCTTAACACAGAGCTCTGTGTTTCTAAGGTGTATTTTAAATACAGATACTAATTTCCACTGTGACAGATAATTGTGTGTCAAACATTTCTACATCAGTTACTTTTGCTATTCATTTTGAAAAAGTAGGGGATAGTCTATACTCAAAAACAGTTCAGAAGATACATCTGACCGGATGACCATCTAAAACAGTTTGCATTTGTTCTTAAATGCTGTATTGCTAGTGTTCTATTAGTGTCTGCTGCTGCATGCATCTTGTTAAAGTTAAATGGAAATATGTATTGTTGTTGTACATTGTCCAAAATTTTCCAGTAGTTTTAAAAAAGCAACACTTCTCAGGAGTTACCAGAAATATTTAGGATTAGGTGTTAAACCATTAATGCCAGCTATACCTCTCTGTTTTAAAATATGTCATACTACACATCTGTATAAGTCTCTGTTTGCACGTTCTTGACGTTTTAAACAATATTTTCTTAAAACACGTCCTGTTTTCTGTAGTGCCAATAATGTCATAATTCCAGTATAAACTTGACGGAACTCCACTTAAATGGAATAACTACACCGACTTTTAAATTGAAAGCACAGATTATGGACAAATTTACAAAGAAACACCTCAGTTCCAGGGTGTCACTGTTCTTCCAGAGATCATACATGTTGTCTGTGCTTGACATACCTGCCTGATCTTACAAGCATGAAAGCAAAAACTAGCCTATCTCATACATATTGCAAATCTCTCCTTTTCTATGCAGGTTTTGAGGATGTGTTGTCATTAAAATAATTCACTGAATATATTTTTATTTCTCGCACAGTGCAAAGTATACAAGTCATATTTAACATTTCATTTCCTGTTGCAAATATTTTTACATGCTGTCCTGTTTTGTAGAAAGGGTCTTCTTTGTAAAAGTCAAGCCTAATGCAGATTTCCTAAGCCAGCATAGCTGCGCTGACATACTCAGTTGGATCCAGCAGCAGCATGTATGTATCCATGCAGTGCTGTAGCGCTGCATCAAGCAAGAAAGACCCATCTCTTGAGCAGAGGTGAAATTCAATGCGAGTGTACTTAGACTGTTTCCATCCAAGATGGCTTTGCTGTTACTGCACTATGCTTTCCTGTGTTTCTGGATTTGGAGTTAATATGAATAGAGTCAGCTACCCATAATACAGATATGATCTTAATCTCATAGCATAGATATGTATATTGTTAGAGAGCTGAGGTTTTTTTGTTTTGTTAAATTTGTTACAGTGCACTCCCCTCACCCACAGAGCTTGAGGTTCTGGAATATTTTTTACACTCTATACTTCAGGTTTTTTATTTTGTGCATAGTTTAGGTTTTGGGGTGGAGGGGGAGGGGTTGGGGATAATTTCAACTCTTTATGGGAAAGGAAGTAGTGAACAGTAGAGGGTATCGTTGTCTGTTACATGAATCCCTCGTGGTGGAACCAGGTATTTTCAGTTGCTAGTGGAGATCCACCTTCATTGTGCACACAACCGAAAGAGTTCTTTCTGTAAGTAGCAGATAAAACACACAAGTTACCGCTCTTTTCTGAGATACTGGAAAGCAAATATTCTACAAAGATGAGAAGAGTAATATTTTCACTGTGTTAGCAAACGTATTCTTTCCGTGCTGAATTTTAGAACTTCAATCAAACACATAGATGAGTTGTAAGTGAAGGAGACTTGGGGAGGACAGAATCTTAGAGCAAATCTTAATCGAACGTTGACATTACGAATGCAGTATAAACTCCGTAAGTCAGAAATATATCCAAGTTGAAGTACAAGGATTTTTGCACAAGTTCTCTCCATAGGTATGAGGAAGAAGACAACACAAGCATGGTAAATATATCTAGGTATTTTAAATTCTGCTGACATTAATGGAAGAGTTGCTAAAAATTTCTGTCTTCGATATACAGACCTACTTTCACTTCTCAGCATAATAGAACTGTTACTGCGCATGAGTTTCATAACATAGGAATCAGGATTTTTTCCATGTTCATAACTTTTAATACCTGGTTTTAAGGCTTTTATGATCTTCAGAGTTTTCTATAACTTAGCCACCTTTATAACTTTATTGTCATTCTGAATCATATTAAAATATTTTAATTCCTTTTGCACTAGAATATAGTTATGTAATTGTACTTATTTTAGCATCAGTTAGTGAAATGCGACAATTTGGAAGCTCAACTAAAATATGAATATTTTTGAAATCTTTTTTTTTTTTTTCCTGCAGCTGGTCACATTATTGCAATAAAAACTCAATAAAATTTACTGAAAGTCCTTGGGTTCTCAGTGAGTTATTCTAACAACCATTTTGAGAAAATGAATTTGAAATTCTTGGTAGAATGATTCTCTGGTACTGACCACAATTTTCATATGAACTAGAACTTAACTTTGTCCTCTCTTCACTGGAAAACTGATGTTTGCAAAATCAGTTTCCTAATGCACTTAGAAGATCAACCATTGCATACTTTCTGTTCTTACAAAAAAACCCCACCTCCATATCAGAGTCTGTCCAGTCTCCTTAGATTCGGAAACAGAGTCTTACTGACAGCATGTACCTTATTTTTGGCTTACAGAATGCACAACATGTTTTGAAGTTTATCAGTTGTTAATAAAACATTTACTGAGTTTGGGAGGCTGATTTCTGGCTATATTCAAAGGAAAAACATACGTGAATGTTGAGTATCGATACAATATTTCTGTATTTAACAGGCGCCTCAGCATTCAGCTGCTGCTCAGGAGACTTGCAACATATGGCATGTGAACTTAGAAGCCATTCCAGAGTGGGTGAAATGTGTTATTGAAAAGGTAATTTTTTTTAACTTGCATCTGTATTCAATAAAATGGGAAATAAGTACAGGGAACAAATATGAAGGGCACTTTTCCAATGAGGCCCACATATCATATACAGATCTTTTTTATTCAGGGAATTTCCGTCAGTAGTTTCTATCATTGCCATTTACAGAGGTTTTTTTTTCCTTTGCTCTTAAATATTTTTTTCTATATGCACAAAATCTAGAACTGGAATATTCTTGGCCATTTACGGATGAATGTGTTTATATTTGTCCAACCTACTCTCGCAGGGTTCCTCTGTTTATTTTATGAAAGCTTTACATTTATATTAATTATAAAGGCTTTGTATTTTGGCTTGTCTTCATCCTTGTGTCTTGTAGTACTTATATTCACTGTAATGGTAAGGAGCATGTTACTCCATAAAACTGGATTAATAGTTTATTAGAGATCAATTGTTGGAATACAACGTGATGTCTGTTTTTTACATCACCTGTGCTATTTTGTCATATAAATAGAAAATACTTGCACTTCTGCAAATTCAAAGGTCTGATGACAAGCAGTGTCGCTGCTTTTGAGTTTTATCTGCCCATTTGAAATTACAAACCAGCTCACGATTTTGCTGTTGAAATGATTGCTTCAGCTGAGTATTTAGGTTATTTTGGGTCTAAAAGTTAATGTTATTGCATGGATATAAGAAGCAGAAATAGTGATACTTTTTTGCTGTAAGGTTTTTCTTCTGATCAGTCCTACTTGATTTTGACAGTCAAATGCAACCTGCATTCCTTTCTGCTTAGACTTCAGTGTCTAAGCTTTACTATATTACAAGATTTACATCAGAAATCCATCCTGAAAATAATATGCAAAGCAAAAATTGTTATGACTGTAAAGCTAAGCAGTCAAAGCAAGCTAAGCAGATGTGTTTCATCTTCCGTCTTCATTGTTTTGCCCTGTGTTTTATTTTGTTAAACATTAATTAAGCTCTTCTTAAAATTACTGATCTTTTAGACTTCAGCATTGCAGGGCAAAATAGAGCATCTGTTTCACAAACATTTCCCCGCTGGGGTAAAAAGCTTTGAGCAGCAA